CTCCGAAAGATCTTTTGCCTGCAGTGTGTAAAAAAAAAGAAATATCAGCTAGAGAAGCAAGTGTTTCAAAGTGTCTTTTATAATATTTTCAAAAAAAATATAAAAAGCTTTGGTTTCAGCTTAAAATGACCCTTGCTGTGTGCGCTCACTTCAGTATCATCAACAGTTTAATAAATTAGAGTGCATTGTGTGTAAAGTCTACATTTTCAATTATTTTGCTGCAGCAAATCTTTGCCTTGAGAAAAAATGTGTTATCAGATTTTGCAGTTTGCAGCCTACAACCTCGCCCACAAGCACTAGAAGTAAGGCGGAGGCGTCTGTTTGAGATAGTAATCGTTTCTTCTTCCTGAAGAAATGCTAGGGCTTCTTCATCACAGTTCTTATAGATGTAGAGAGGTGTTTTTCTTGAGGCACTCAAATCAGTGCTAGCAGATGATGTTGGCGTCGCAGATATCCTTAGTCTATGGCAGTAGCTTCCACAGGCAGGCAACGACAAAACGGCTACGAGAAGAAAAGGTTATGCAAGGAAAATGTCTTTATCTAAAATCTTTTTGTGAACACTCGACTAATCGGTGCAGAATACCTGAATCAAGCTGCATGTGCAGCGTGTAGTGAAAACTAGGCCTAAAGTACTCCACACTTAAAAGGAGTGCTGAAAGCTCATCGCTGTGTGCACTGGCTTGTGTTGATGCGCTACTATGGGAAAAGTCGTGCACACTTATCTTTTGTAAAGTTTTAATGGCCAATAGGCCTGTTTACAAGAATTAGGGCTAATATCCGCATGCGTGGTCCTCTGATAAGTGCGGCTTGGCTTACCTTCTCGCTCTGCCTGCTTGCACCTTTACGTAATCGTCTACCTCGCCGGTATTTCCCGGCCATGGGAGGCTCAATGCGAGAGCCGTCTTTGAGGACTGCTCACGTGTGCAGCCATGTGTTAACGGCGAACTGTTAACAGCAAATGAAATGTCGCTGCAGCTTTACGGTGTTGCTACGTTACGAGTTCTTACTTTGAGAAACTGAAACATTTTAAAAATTTTATGGACTTTACATTAAAACGGAACTTTCGGAGCCCGGTAGTTTGTTCAATTGAGCTTTGACTGTAATTACGCAGCCCTTGTTAGAATTTCTTTACTTGCATCAGTTTGAACTTGTGCATCCTTTGTTTGTAGCCTTCAGCTTAACCTCAACGCAGTTGCACAGTGTAGAATTAACAAGAACAGTCGAGAGAACATAGCACAGTAGCTGTATTGTCCTCTCATATGTCCTCGTTCATTTTGCTGTATGCAAATATATCAATACTAAACCACCAACTAGCCTAAGCCACCGTTCTATCAGCTTAAACTGATTTTATCATCTTGGCATATATGCTTTCCACATGCTTAAACTCTTTAAATTTGTTTTGTTGCTCACAGAACTGGACTAAGGAAGAAGAAAAGGAGCTTCGACGACTGCTTTCTCACCATCTGGTGAATGCAATCACCAAGGAAACCACCACGCTATCACCTTGAGCTTGAAGAGGATGCTTCAGCGCATTTGAAACCATTGCCAGTGTATTATAAAGTGCCAATTTATCTGAACGGACCAATACATCTTCATTTATTGCTACCACTAAAGTGAGAATCGATCCCTTATTGCTCACTTGTTGCGCTTAGTCGTCATTATGTGGGCCTTCAATAATGGAAGGCAAACTTGCATGAAACAGTGCGATTGGGCAGTGCGAGATCTCTGGTGGCATCACTTAGGACTCAGGCCTGCTCATGGTGTACTTGGGCTCCTCACCAGGCCACATGACAAATTTTAAGCACTCTGCAAGTTGTTGCTTGCCCAGTAAAGAGCATTGTATTACAAGAATTTTTAAAAGTGGTTCATTATGAGTGGAGAGAACCAATGTTACAGAGCAGTGTGGAACCATGGTGCGAGGAAGCAAACTTGAAACTTTTGCCACTTGCCCTGTCTATCCTTTGCAAGCCAAATTCCTTCCCTACCCTTTTCCATATAAGTGGTGTTCATTGAGCTGAAGGATAAAGAGACCCAGACACATCAACATGTCATGTGCATGCAGTGTCACATGCACGTTATGTGCCTGAATGCACGAGTGGTGTTGTGTTGTTTTCCGAGGTGTACGACCCGTTTCTGTGGGATGGATCCCTCAGTGCATGCATGTTTTGATAGGCTGGCACTGGTCATGGATCATTACCGCGGCACCATACTGGAACCACTCTCAGGGATGATGCACCGAACCCCGACAGTCTGCACTCTCCAGGTGAGAGAGACGGCCTGCGTGGGTACGTAACATCGTGAATATCCGCTACTCTTACTAATTGTTAGTTGCATCATGGCTTGGGTGTTTAAAGCTGCCAATGTTGCATTCAGAGCTTGTCGATTGTGAAGAGGTTCGTACCAGGTGCTTGCGTGTTGCACTGCTTTCATTAAAACCACTATTCTTCTGCATAAGTGAACATGTGGGCAGTGCGTGGCAAGCACTAAAATGTGTGCAGCTAAAGTACTAGAACTTGTTGCCAAAGGCAACAATGGCCGCATCATGTGGTGTGCACATCTAGTGCCTAAATTACATGGTGCTCAAGGCGACATAGTAGCTCTTTGCAGACTTTGATGTCCACGTGGTTGCAAAGCTCCACAAGTAAGAGAACACGAACTTTTATTATTGGCGTGACCGTGTCGCCTTTACCAATTCACTGAAATGCGGATACGTGCACAATCTGCTTTGACTTCGCACATGGTTGCAGTGGAAGACACACGTGCGTAACCAATACCCAGTAAGCAGGGTGGCTGTCAAGTTTTCCCAGTGTTCTGATGTGCATTTGCTATGCCAGTTACCACTAAAGGTTAATCTGGTTGCACAAAAACAGCGTGCCTTTGCTGGTAATTTGAACCACTTTTTGTTGCAGCGCTTGCTTGTTTGCAGGAAGTACCGTTTCGTTGTGTGTGTACCCGCCCTTTGCCAAATGGGTGTGGAAGCGGCTTACGTGTGCGAGGTTCCGAGAGAGCCGTGGCCATGGAACAAATCGATGCTGCGCAGTGTAACGAATACATGTACATTTATTAACAACTTTTACGTAATGGCGACTTCTCCAGCTGAATGTAACAAATAACTGCAGTAATATGGCAAATAACCCGAAATACTGCCAATGAAACTCGCTTAAAACATACCACACACGAACAATGAAACACGTACAATGTACTGCGAATGCGGCACCACTGGTGTATATTAATTATTATAACAGCCTGTGAGACCGAGCTGTGAAAGTGTGCCCACGAACCTCCCGCTGACGTCAGCGCCAAATCCCGAAAAAAGGAAGAGCTCCTCCTCATGACCTCACTACTGCCAGGTGGCACCAACTCTTTCTGGGCAGGAATTAACACTTTACATTACGCTCGCATTCATGGACAGAAAAGAACTGTAAGGTTTTACACATTCAGTAAAACGATTTGACCAAACTGTGCACATATGCACTTTTAAAACAGAAGCTTCGGCATTGTGTGTTGCCAGTCTTAAAGATATGCAAGGGTAACAGTTGGAAATGAGGAAAACATCAGTGATCCCATCGATCAAAGGCACTTTTAATTTTCTTGAGGAACATGGGGATGACAGAAAGCTTGAAGTTGAAAAACAACTATAGTCTGGTCCGCTACAAAGTTGCAAACAAATGAGTCGTCGTGCACTTACAAATATGCAAGCACCAAAATGAAACATGCATGTTAAATGAGAAAAAAACAACAAAAGAACACAATGAAGACAAAATACAGGTTATTGATTGAGATGCTTCACAGCGAGAATGCGGAGAGCATTGAAAAAGTGTATATGAAAGGAGTTAGTAACATGCAATAAATACTACGCCGAGGAAACAAAAACTGCAAGAGATGAGGTAGACCCTGAAGATAGATATTGAGATCAAAAGACACCAATCATAGCGAATCGACACTATGAAGAAACTAGCATGCACAAACCAAACTTGATGAGAACAAAGAGTGTGTCACTGCTAGGGCTCTAATCGCCACGTTTTCAGTTGTTTGCTTGATGACTGCGGTTAGGCTTGCTTCAACGTGGCAAGATATGCATAGTCACAATATGTAATAATATAATTTCAATGGTAACATCAAAAAAGTTATGTTACATATAAAGGTGATTGTCTGGAAAAAAAAAGTGCGAACTATAAGGCACATACTCAATACTCAATATAAGGCACATACTCAATACATTTAAAAAGAAAAGGGTCGTCAAACAATTTCTGTACCAAACAATTTAGTTTAGACTGACGCTACTGTTTCACATCAGGGATCTGGACCTTAGAAATTCTGTATGTTACGATATGCCTTGTTGATGCAGTTGGGATTTCAAGTAGCACTCATGCGTGTCATTGCATGTGACATATTTGGTAGAAGGGTTATCACACTATCGACATTTCTATGCAAGGACTGCAATGTCATCTTCATGGGTAGAAGCCCTTGGTTGAGCATATTTGAATACTGCATCGCAACTTTTATTTGAGGTGTGCTACCCGTGCTTCTTGGTCATACTGGTCGTAGTCGTCAATCACGTATTGCTGGGTGCTCAGCTGCAGGCTCTCTTTGTGCTGTGCAAGAAATCTCCGCACCTGTTCATCACATTACCTAGCAGCTGATGGACACAACCTGGAAAAAAAAATCAAACTTTAAAAATTGTTCAGTACTTGAATCTATGAAATGCAACTGTTATGTATACACACAACAGTAGCATCTTTTTCAGCATTAGTTAGTCTGTCTTCAGTATTACCTGATGTAAAGGATCAGACTTGCATGCCACATTCTTCTAGCTTCCTCAGGCTTGTCTGTATTCTTCCCTTCTCCGTTACACTGTTGCTGGGCATGGCATCCGTCTGCATAAGCATGTGAGGGTTTGATACACGGATTGACTTCCATCACCCCATTTCTCTATGCTTACCGCTTGGACATGCATCTGTTGACAATGTAGAATGCGATTCGTTCTCATGCCAAGTGCAAGACCATCCCCTGTCATGTCCGATTTGTTAGCACCTATATCTGTCTGCTGCTTCTCTTGAAGCTGCGTACAAAGATCTCAGTGCTGTTACTTGAGCTGCCTGTATAGCAGAGTTCCACAAGCAGGACATTCCAATGCACAGCCTCTCAGAAAAATGTAAAGGCCAGTCAGTTGTTTGCAATGGCCCCTTTAGTGTTTTGCAATACACTCCACTAACACTCCCACATATGCTCGATAATGATCAAATATTGGCATTTGGCAATCAACTTGCTTAGTATAATTTTGTCCCTGGGCTGTTTTCATTTAAAGGTGAACATTTTTGACAGAGTTCTTTCTGGCTGGCTGAAAGTTCATACGGAAACAATAAACTCGCCAGCCATTTTCTCCAGTTTATAGTTTCTAATGTTAAAATTAGAAACTATAAACTGACCCGACAATTCGGGACCGATTCGGCCCCTTCTTGAGGGTTGACTGTTCGACCAGCTTCGAAGCTAGCGAATTTTCCCGGTGCTATCCCTCTCTCCATCGTCCTTCTTCCCACCATTCTTGTTGCTGCTGTGTTTTTTCATTGGTTCTGTAAACCGTGCACGAATACAATCGGTGAAGTCCCAGCTGAGTGGTTAATGTTTTTGGGTGTTGTTTGAATATGCTAGGACTTTAAGAATTGCCTTTTTGTGCGGCTACCTTCTGTGTCGATAACCCTGGTGGTGTCAAAGCTGATGCGATGGTCCAGCTTTTCGTTATGTTCTGCGAGTGTTTCATGCGGTGTTGAAGCTACACATTTCATTTCGATGTTGCTGTATTCTTTCTGGAAAGTGTTTTTGTCTCCTTAAGGTAAGTGGCATGACATTCACTGCATGGAACCTCGTAGACTAGCCCGGGGAATTTTTCTTTCGGCAGCCGGTGTTTTCGTCGTGGCAAGCATCGCCGCGATTGTTGATGTAGGTTTTGCGCCACCTGGATGCCCTACTTCCCTGGCACCCTGGTCAGCTGCTCGTCGATTTTCGAAACGTATGAGGCCGAGAGGCGGCATGCTTGGGCATTAGCAACATTGCTAGTGTAACCCTTTGCAGAAGAGAGCAGGTGGCGGGCACATTCCCAGCCGTCACGTCGCAGGCGTTCCACAAGCAGGACATTACAGCCATTTAGAGCTGCAGTGCCTTGTGGACAGTCAGGAGGTTGGAACTGAACTGTAGACGTCGTCTGGTGTGCGTAGGTTTTTGGTACACCGAGAAGCTAAAACGTCCTTCCACTGCTTTGACCCGTTTCACTAACATATCCAGACAAAGAAGAACGTTGCTATTTTCATGTTCCATGGTGAATTTATTGTTGGCTCGATCGAATTTAGGTGTGCCAGGAAACTGTTGATGTTGGACTCATTCATCGTGCGAAAGGCTCGTGTTTCGATGGTGTTATGCCTGCGAGTCCACAGCGAACGTCCATGCCTCTGAAAAAGGCAATCTGTGTCAAGGCCAGCCCGCGAGCCCGCCTGACGAGAACAACTCAACGGTGTCAACACGTGGCGGTGCCTCTCTGCCGCGCACGCACAGTGAGTCACTTCAGCCAGCGAGCCCTTCGAGCAAGCAACCGGCGCCTTCCTGTCTGGCGGGTCTGACGCAACGCCTGGCGACGTCACTCGTCCTTGGGTGCAGCCACCTGCAGCGCAGCCTCTCCAGATTCGATGAGAAAGAATGACGCGGCTCAGCGGCGACCCCATTGGAAGATTCTGACCTCACGACCAGCGGCGCTTCTGGTTGGACATTTGGTTACTCAAAGAATCCACCCGGTGCATATAAAAGAAGCCCTGCGGCGCGTCGCGAGCAGTTGAGCTGTGTGTCAGGGAGTTGAGCTATGTGTTCGCAGCAGACCTATGTTCTAGAGAGGAGAGCTCGGCTCTTCGGGTCTCTAAGCTGTCGGCCCCAGTGCCGAATTTGTAACGCCTCTGTATATACATATGCTGTACATAAACCTTGTTTAATTCACCGTCGTCTCGTTTGCTCGTCTATCAGCTCTGCGCAGAAGCAGTCGCGAGCTGAGAAACCTACGCTACCAAACGGCTGGTGACCTTCCCTGCGGAGTTCGAAGCAGTGGCGCCTTCGGGACCGTGTTGGCGTCGCCGTCTTTCGAAACAGTGGTTGCAACGGTGAGATTCGTGGCGCCCTTCGTAACGTCGTCGGAGGCGCGCTTCGCAACAGTGGTGGCAGCGGTGGGATTCGAACCCGCGCCCCCGAAGAGATTGGTGAAGTACAGCTAAACAAGGCAGCAGAACTAGCTGAGGAGTATTATACTCGCCGAAAGTTGCATAGCAGGGCAGTGCGCGTTGAAAAGGATGAAAGGAAAGAGGGCTTTTCAAAAAAACCTGATCAACGGAAACCCGCTCCGCACCGTAATTTCAAGATGGACCCGTCTCTTACGAAGGACACTGTAGGGGAAGGGCAAACGGAAGCGGAGAAATCGAGTGAGGTTCCTAAACAACGCACTGATACCACATGGGCGTTTGAATCACGGAAGCCGCTAATCTGCTACAACTGTAAAAAGGAAGGGCACATCGCAATAAACTGTAAGCAAAAGTTTGCTTTTGCAACAATCCGAGAATCAGAAAAGAACATGCGGTTGTTAGAGCCGTATCTCCAAGAAATTGGGGTGAATGGGAAAACGTGTCGAGCACTTAGAGATTCAGCGGCAACCATGGACGTTGTCCATCCTTCATTGGTGTCTCCGGATGACCTTACAGGATAATGCACGTGGATTAGGCAAGTCGCCGAGGAGCAGAGTGCTTGCTTACCAATCGCTACGGTCGTCATTGAAGGCCCATTCGGTAAGCTTCGCACCGAAGCGGCTGTGTCTGCCGCACTTCCCGATAGTTTTCCTTATCTTTTCTCTAACAACTCAGAGCAGCTTCTCAAAGAGCAGGGTAAATTGTTCTTCCCCAACTTAGCGTACATGGCCCTCACGCGATCGCAAGCACGGAAGCTTTCGCAGGAGCTTGGTTTTGTTCAATGCGGTGAACTCTCAAGTGACCTTGTCGGCGGGTCGAGAGAACCTCAGAGAGGAAATTTTCCGCGTGAGTCATGTGAGCAGTCACTCGAGCGGCCCGGCGCCGAAGCGACCGGCGCGGTTTCCGTAGCAGGGGGAGACGACATGGCGCCATTGAATCAGAGCGAGAGGGCTGCAACGCTCTCGCCTGTAGCGAAAAGTTGGAGTGAGCTGTCGAGGGTTGATCGAGAAACGCTCATTCGAGAGCAGCGTGAGGACCTCTCGATTAAAGCGCTAATGGAAAGCATAAACTTGGGAGAAAAGAAAAAGAATGTTTCTTTTTTTTTTGAGAAAGCAGGGCTTTTGTATCGGAGCTACACAAATGTGCAAGGTCGCAAGTATGAGCAGCTCTTGGTGCCATAAAAGTATCGTCGCCAACTATTGGAACTGGCGCATGAAAATGCGTGGGCAGGGCATCTCGGGATAAAAAAGACCAAGGCTAGAGTTTCCCTTGAGTTTTATTGGCCGAAATGCTGGAAGGATATCGAAAACTTTGTACGCTCATGCGACACTTGTCAGAGAGCAGGAAAATCCGCGGACAAGTTGAAGGCACCCATGAAGCTTTCTGATACCAATTAGTGAAATTAGGAAGGTGGCCGAACAAAAATTACCACAGTAAATTTATGAAACCACACGTTCAACGTCAAGCGGTCGTAAATCTGCTGTTGAATGCTTCATAGGAAGAAGGAGCAGAAATTTTGAGTTCTAGTGATGTATTCGAAAGGGGATCGGAGGTAATCTTGGAGCAGTTGAACCTAGAGCCTAGGTTTAGTGAAGTCCAGAAGGAGGACTTGAGAAGGAATGATTCTTTTTATGAGAAATCTGGACTCCCACATTGTAGTTACCCAGAAGTGCAACGTCGCAAGTACGAGCAGCCCTTAATACCGCATAGGTATCGTCGCCTAAAAGTGGCCGGTAACTGAGGTGGAGCATGATACTCCAACGGCACAACTTCGACGTTCGCTAAAAAAAAAAAAAGGAAAGCTAAACGCTAATGCAGGCGCATTGAGCCATTCGTTTAGTTAGTACCTTCTCCACCTTTCGGTTTCTCGCTGGCGATTCGGGGCAAAATTTTGTCCTCATCACGGCCTTGGCTGAGCGATCTCGTCCAGAGTGAGCTCAAGTAGCCAACTATATGTTGTATTCTAATTCGTTAAGTTATTGTACGTGTAAAAAATTGTGTTGTCATTTTAAGAGTCTTGTGTCCCACATGTGCCTCTTGATGTAGAGGGAACGAAACTCCGATAGACACGTAGCTAGGTATATGTTGTACTATACTTTGTCATGTGTTCTGTCGGGTGACAGAGGACACTCGGTTGTGTCGTGTGTTGTCTGTTATCGAACCGTTCTTGACAAGTTGCAGAACCATTGACAAGTGCTGAAACCAAGGATCGTCAGAAGAGACGAGCGAAGCTGGTCGACAAGTTGGGGCGACAAGCCAGTGGAGCTGGGATCCGTCCTCAAGAATGGGATGTGTTCCCGGAACAGAGTCTGGAGCTGCAACGAAAAAAATAAACTCTCCAGCCATTTTCTCCAGTTTATAGTTTCTAATGTTAAAATTAGAAACTATAAACTGACCCGACATTTTGGGACCGATTCGGCCCCTTCTTGAGGGTTGACTGTTCGGCCAGCTTCGAAGCTAGCGAATTTTCCCGGTGTTATCCCCTCTCCATCGTCCTTCTTCCCACCGTTCTTGTTGCTGCTGTGTTTTTTCATTGGTTCCGTAAACCGTGCACGAATACAATCGGTGAAGTCCCAGCTGAGTGGTTAATGTTTTTGGGTGTTGTTGGAATATGCTAGGACTTTAAGAATTGCCTTTTTGTGCGGCTACCTACTGTGTCGATAACCCTGGTGGTGTCAAAGCTGATGCGATGGTCCAGCTTTTCGTTGTGTTCTGCGAGTGTTTCATGCAGTGTTGAAGCTACACATGTCATTTCGATGTTGATGTATCCTTTCTGGAAAGTGTTTTTGTCTCCTTAAGGTAAGTGGCATGACATTCACTACATGGAACCTCGAAGACTAGCCCGGGGAGGGGAATTTTTCTTTCGGCAGCCGGTGTTTTCGTCGTGGCAAGCATCGCCGCGTTTGTTTATGTAGGTTTTGCGCCACCTGGATGCCTTACTTCCCTGGCACCCTGGTCAGCTGCTCGTCGATTCTCGAAACGTATGAGACCGAGAGGCGGCATGCTTGGGCATTAGCAACATTGCTAGTGTAACCCTTTGCAGAAGAGAGCAGGTGGGGGGCACCTTCCCAGCCGTCACGTCGCAGGCGTTCTCGGCGAATAAAGTTTTTTGGGTACCCATTGTCCAGGAAGTCGGTAGTAACCCCTTCTTCTTTTCTTTGCATTTCTTTAGAGCTGCAGTGCCTTGTGGACAGTCGGGAGGTTGGAACTGAACTGTAGACGTCGTCTGGTGTGCGTAGGTTTTTGGTACACCGAGAAGCTAAAACGTCCTTTCACTGCTTTGACCCGTTTCATTGCCTCGCCGCGGTGGTCTAGTGGCTAAGGTACTCGGCTGCTGACCCGCAGGTCGCGGGATCGAATCCCGGCTGCAGCGGCTGCATTTCCGATGGAGGCGGAAATGTTGTAGGCCCGTGTGCCTAGATTTGGGTGCACGTTAAGGAACCCCAGGTGGTCGAAACTTCCGGAGCCCTCCACTATGGCGTCTCTCATAATCATATGGTGGTTTCGGGACATTAAACCCTACATATCGATCAATCAATCAATCATTGACCCATTTCAGGTGAAGAAGACCGTTGCTCTTTTCATGTTCCATGGTGAATTGAATTGTTGGATCGATCGAATTTAGGTGTGCCAGGAAGCTGTTGATGTTGGACTCATTCATAGTGCGAAAGGCTCATGTTTCGATGTGCTCCATCGCCAAGTTTGCCACTGTGGCTGAAATGGCAGCTCCCATGGCAGTTCCACTTGCATGTTTGTAGAATTCACCTTCGAAAGAAAATTATGTTGCATTGAGGCAGAACTCCATCAGACTTCACAGTTTGTCTCTGCTGAGCTTCGTCCTTTCGCTGATGAGGGTCTGATCCCTCTTCAAGGCGATTTGTGCAACTGAGACCGCGAGGGGTTATGGCACACTTGCGAGCCGAGAAACATCAAATGACATGAGGCTCTGGTCACTGCCGATTGTCACCTCCGACATACGCTAAACAAAATGGGCGGCATGTCTTACGAGTGTGGCTTTTTTCCAACTAGTGGTGACAGGGTCCTGTGTAGATGTTTGGACAGTATGTGTCCTGACACATTACCCTGTGTATCTTGTTCTTGTGAATGTTTTGTTTTCACTCTATTGTTCCCAAAGCTATCCACCATTCCTCTCCCTCACACACATACGTGTACACACTCGCACTTTGCCAAAAGCTATGCACCATCTCTCTCACACGCACACCACATCAGCGTGACAACCAGCACTCGCTCACCAGCATTCCCTGCTGCGGTGTCATGGTAGCAGCTGGGTGCTACATTGCCAGCGTTTGCGTGCCATTCTCAGATGTAGTTGTAGGATGGCGGTAGTCATCCCATGTCGTCTGGGTACTGGCTGTGCACGACAGTGCCGCTCGCCTGCATCTGCATGTCTGGCACTGTAAACACAACGAGACCGCTAAAATTAGCCATTGCATTCGGATATCACTTCTCACTTACGGTTTGTGATGTGTCAGGAGTATTGCTGCATGGGTCAGGCACATTCTGCGAAGGCTGCAAGTAAAAAAATGGTGCATGAAGTGCACTGTTTGTCCATAATCATCACTAGCTTATTCGGACTTGGCTGCAACTTGAACACAGCGCATGAAGGTGTGATTTTTAGTGCTTTTCATGCAAAGAGTCAAAGAGCTCGTTTCGCAGTAATTCCAGCATCAACATATTTCATTGCAAGCGAAAAATAATCTTGCTTGTGACTGAAAAATCGAGAATGATGCAAATACAATAGGTAATGTAGTTTCACACTCTGAGTGAGGATCGAATCCAGGCTGTCTGCGTGGCAAAGCAGGCGTTCTAGCACACAGCCACAATGTTTGTTGAAACCGCCTTGCTACGTTGTGGAAGGAATCTCCTAGAGCGTAGAATCGTGCCAGGCACCAAAAGATGCGAGTTGCGCGGCGAGTGGTTGTTTTAAATTGCCTGCAACACTTGTTCAAGTAGCAATGGAATGAATTCACTAAAGGAGCTTATTGCCTCGCGGATTCACTGTCACAAAAATGTTTTGAATCCATACAGTACGAGCGGTGTTACAAAGATTAGTCGCACGCTGCAATTGCGTTCTCTCTTCTTAACGAAAGCGCTGGAAGGTATGCAGGGAGGGATTGCACGGGGTGTGGGGTCTCCAAGCGAGGCCCCATGCTCTCGGAACACACAGACGCGGATCGGGCTAAAAAAAAAAAAAAAAAACATTTATTGAATTACTTTTACATCAACGATATTGTCAGCCAAATCAAATACATCACTAGTGATCAACACGATAAAACAAAACCTTACACAGTATTCCAATGCACTCAATCAACATAACAAATGCAAGGTAACACGCGAAAGCGGCGTCGCCGATGTTCGACTCTGCGCTAGGGACCCACGGGACCCGCGCAAGGGACCCGCGACCGCCGCATCCCGCGGGACCCCGTCCGGAGACAACCATCCCCGCCAACCGCCACGCGCAAAAAAAAAAAAAAAAAAAAGACTGCCCAATTTCATGCTACTCTATGTAGTACGCGATTCAAACACACTGCGTGCACTAAGCGCGTGCATTCGCCACTTACTGGCCTGCTCGGAAGGAAGAGTGTCGGCAGAGTACCTGGGCGAAGCACAGGCCTTAGAACAGTGCTCATTCCATGTCGAATGCGCGGGTCGTGAATATAACCTTCCTCTTTGAAGTGACGATCACAGACAAGCACGTGCTTCTGCGTGACCGGAACGCCAATGCACTGACGCCAGGCAAGGCGCTGCGCTTTGTCTCTCGGCAATCTATGACGAACGCGCCCACGCTGATCACTGGGCTTGCAACCGATTACTGAGCATGGCTGAGGCATCTGTACGGGCCTCGATACGGGCGGTGTCGTTAACCAATGTCGCACGAACACTGTGATAGACGCGAGAGAATTCGTGATCGAGCGCAGGACCACGGCACACACTCACACATACAAAAAAATACTTTCGTTTTGTTGCCAGGGTTGTCAAAACTCCGCCTGTACCATGATGATGGTGATAATGTGCACCGTTACTTTTTTCAATTGTTATTTATTTATGTATAGTACTTAAACGCAACAAATCACAGTATATTTTAGTGCTATATTTATGCAGGTTATAAATAAATACACAATCTCGGCAGGGTTCCTTTTGACGTTGCATAAATGGTTGCCAAACTGGAAGAGTCAGTGTTGCCAGACAGCCGCTAAATTTGACCGCAATTTTTTTTTGTAGTTGTGGTTTTTTTGTGAGAATTTGGTGCCATCCGCGGTGCATATCGCGAACGAGCGACGCTGGCCGTTTTAATTAACGGAATGAACCGCGCCAAGCAGTAGTCGAGTGTGGCGCTGCCGTGCAATTAAGAGGCCGTTTTAATTAACGGAATGAACCGCGCCTAGCAGAAGTCGAGCGCGGTTCGATAAAGCAGCTTTCCAGGCGTACATAGATGTAGCATATCCGACGTACCCCGATTAACCAGCCTTGGAACGCTTATTCATCACATGTATATACGAGTCCGAACGATATGTCTTGTGCTGACACAGCTAGGGGAAGCGTAGCGTCCCCCGTCGTAGCGCGCGGTCGACGCGACACGATCAGCTGAGAGAAAAAAAAAAGGGGGGGGGGGAGGGGAAAGCGCATCACCTCCTGCGACTCTATTCAGTTTTCCCCGTCATCCCTAATAGGCACTGCGCCGTGTCGCCTGTAGGCAGACAGAAATTAGGTGCCTTCTTCCTTTTCCTCATGAACCACTAACAACATGCCTAATACTGAGACGCGATATCTTAATTTCACAGCTGCGCTCACAGCAAAAGAACGCGCCCCGACTTCTGCTAGGCGCGGTTTATTGCGTTAATTAAATTGGCCTCCTAACTGCACGGCAGCGCCGCGCTCGACTACTGTAACGCGTGGTTTATTCCGTAAATAAAACGTATTCTGTAACGCGTGGTTCATTCCGTTAATTAAATTGGCCTCCTAATTGCACGGCAGCACCACGCTCGACTTCTGCTAGGCTCGGTTCATTCCGTTAGTTAAAACGGCCAGCGTCGCTCATGCACTCGCCAAATGCACCGCGGATGGCACCTAACTCTTACAAAAAAAACCACAACTACAAAAAAATATTTTAGCCAAATTTAGCAGCAGTTTGGCAACAACCATTCCAAAGTCTGGCAACTGATTTATGCAACGCCAAAAGGAACCTTGCCCACAATCAGTGGTGGGTGGCTCTTGCGCCGCGCGGCGCAGCGGCTTCCATTCTTTGTGTTTTTCGCTCGACCTATTCTGTAAAAGTGTGTTTTTGTAGTTAATGGGTCGCGCGCGCGGCAGTTTTGTAAGTGATGGGTTCGATCGCAAATGGTGCCATTGTCAGGATCAAGCTAGAAAATTTTATGTAAGTACAGCTACTGCTACGCTGGTATGCTTTGCAAGTGGCCTGGTACACTTGTTCTTCTCGTCAGCCCGACTATGCCCTGTTCGACCGTGTACACCGCCTTCTCTCTTGGAAACTAGTGAAAAGTTGGTACTGACATGAAAACGTTCTCGTTCTGCAGCGAACTGAGCGAGCGAATGCTGAGTTGGTGATGAGATCTCCCAGTTGGTCTCTGCTTGTTCCGATTTCTCTGTCGTGCGCCCTGAGCGCGCTTTTCGATGGCGCGTTTTTTAACTATTTTTTCTTTGCAACGCTTTCATTGGGAACAGTGAACCTTTTGCTGTGGTGCTTACCAGGACGACTGTAACGGCGCGTGTTGTAGTGAAGTGCGCGTGATTCAAGAACGTGACAAGTCTGTCGTTAGCAGTTCAGTTTTCCCAAGATTAAGGCCGCGCGTTTGTCGCGCATGTCGAAATGAGTACGACTAGTGATCGATTGAACGTTTATGGATTCGTTTATTGCCGTGTGAGGCGTGCAGTCGTTTCATTTTGCCGTACGCAACATGTGGTCTCGTACAAATGCGCGCTCGCTTAGGTCGAAGCGCTTTGTTTCACGCGGTTCTCGAGGCTACTGTATTTCAGCCGCGGAGGAGGAAATGTTTCTTCCTCCGGGACTTCAGCCCCCGTCGCTTTCCCGTTGTAGGGACGCAATAATCCAGCCACTTCATATGATATGTAGTGAGGCAAAGAGCCCACTTTTACTTTTACTTGCAAGTAAACCACGGCACCACTCTCTGCTCGATTGATTGATTGATTTGTGGAATTTAACGTCCCAAAACCACCATATGATTATGAGAGACGCCGTAGTGGAGGGCTCCGGAAATTTCGACCACCTGGGGTTCTTTAACGTGCACCCAAATCTGAGTACACGGGGAAACTCTGCTCTCGCCTGTTTTAATAAGCCCTGTTTACTTTGTAACAGGGTGTGCACAAGTACAAAGAACAAAACAGGATGGCGTGACGATGCTCCTAATGCAAACTTTTATTGTGTCATTGGCATTTATTAAGCAGCTTTAAACAAGTTAAATCTGGTACATTCAAAACTATATTTTTGTCGACTATCACCGATATTTATTAGGTAAGTTTACTGATTGCCAGTGAACTACAATTGATATCTGTAAATTTAGTGCCTATAAAAAAAAATACATGATGCATCAAGCAATTATTCGCAGTAAACAGCACGAAAAATCAATGCATGATTTTGAGGCATCCCCGCGTTAGTTTCTTCTCGCTGATTTCTCTCACTAAAAACCAAGACAGCGGCTTTGAAAAGAGGGAGGTTTGTGGCTTGAGTAATAGATTTGTGTGCTATTTTTCTTTTCCCGATATTACTTGTGATGAAGATTATAATACACCGTTTCTTTAGAGAAAGATTTTCTGCCCCTTTGATGGCTTCATAATGTTGTTTCTAAGAAGAAAAAGGTGAAGGGTGGACTTGCATTGCCCAAATAAGTAACCCTTCCAATCAAAAAGTGAACATGCATTGGTGCATTGCATTTCTTAATTATGCAGAGTCAGGCCTAAGAATGCAGAGTTATAGAAAAATCACTTGGGATTTAGATGGGTATACAGAGCAAAAGTACTGCCTAGACAATTCACAAATTTTGCTACGATGTCGGTGTACAGGTCCCATTGAAGATGTAAATTGTCTCTGTGATGCTGCATGGTTTAAAATATTGGTGGTGCAGTGCATTTTGAAGAATTATGTTGCCTAAGAAAGGGAGGAGCATTCAGTAGAAATATTAGCGTGGAAACGTGACATTGGATATATTTGCTTTTTATGGACAGCACAGAGGGGACATGAAAAATTAAAATATCCGTGAAGCTACCAGTGAGCCCAGCTGGTATGGCAGTAGATGGCACTGGCTGTCTCAAGAGGGGTATTCTCTCTTGAAGTTGCAGAGACAAACTTTCGCGGCAAAAATCGGGTGTACGCATTGAGGGACAAGAAAGGCAATGTCATAACTGATATGGATAGGATTGTTAAGATTGTGGAAGAGTTCTATTGAGAGCTGTACAGAAGCCAGAACAACCAGATCCTAACCAGATATCGTAAGAAGCAGTAATATCCCAGAGGAATTCGACATGGTATCAGTAACGACAGGGGATGTAAGCAAAGCTCTAGAAGGAATGCAAAGAGGTAAAGCTGCGGGTGAGGATAAGGTAACAACGGACCTGCTGGAAGGTGGCGGGGAAATTGTGTTAGAAAAACTAGCCACCTTATTTACGAAGTGACTCTTGATAAGAAGGGTACCAGAATCTTGGAAGAATGCCAACATCACCTTAATCCAAAAGAAAGGAGACGTCAAGGACTTGAAAAATTGCTGGCCGGTCAGCTTACTGTTCATTCTCTACAAACTATTTACAAAAATAATAGCTAATTGAATCAAGGCAACATTAAAGTTCAGTCAACCAAAAAACGTAGCAGGATTTCGTACAAGGTACTCCACAATAGACTATATTCATACTATGAATCGGGTAATAGAGAAACATGTAAAATAAATATCCTTCATAGATTACGAAAAAGTGTTTGACTCAGTCAGACATCGGCAGTAATGCAGGCATTACGAAATCAGGGCGTCGAAGAACCCTACATGAACATACTAGACGAAATCTACAGTGGATCCACAGCCACCATAGTTCTCTGTAAAGAAAGTGACAGAATCCCAATGAAGAAGGGTGTAAGGCAGGGAGACACGACCTCTCCAATGCTATTCACCGCATGTTTGCAGTAGGTTTTCAGGGCACTAGATCGGAAAGAGTTAATGGAAAGTATCTTAGTAACTTGCGATTTGCTAATGACCTTTCCTTAATGAGTAACTCGGGCAACAAATTACAGCTCATGATTATTGAACTGGACACAAAAATCAGAAGAGTAGGCCTAAAAATTAATATGCCCAAATCTAAAATAATGTGCAACAGTCTCGGTAAAAAACAGCACTTTGCAATAGGTGGAGAGACGCTGGAAGTTGTAGAGGAATATGTCTACCTAGGACAGGTAGTAACTGCGCAGCAAAGGTATACCATCTGATGTACAAGGTATACCAACTCATCTGGCATACATGTTGTACGAATGAATGCTTTTACAGTGTTTAAAATGATTTAAACAGTAGAAGCAACCATATTTAAATGGGTGTCTTATTGTGTGACACAAAATCTGACATTAAATCAAATGTGTTTGGATGATATAAAACACTCAGTACCCATCAATACTGTGTGCATCAATACTATGTACATCAGAGCATCAACTGGGTAGAAAAATTCAACTTCTCCTTAAAGAGCACTGCAAGTCAAATAAGATGTGGCTTTGAGTAGTGTACCACTGTATGTCTCCTTATGAAGCAAGCTTTCTTAACAAACCGTGATTGCTTTTGCCGAGGCTGCTCCTTTGCCTAATAACTTGGTTCTGCAGGAGAGCAGTGGCGCCATCTACATGTCACGGCTGGCAGCACTTCTTGCATGGCATTAATAGGGCAGGAAAAGGGGGGTAGCATTATCATGGGGGTGCAGTGGTAAGAGGCCTGCAGTATTAGGTCAATGAAAATAACCTCAGACAGTAGAAATGAACCTCTATCTCACTGCCATAATGTTCCACATAGAAGATTATTTATTAAACTTCATACCTAAAAAGTGTGCAGTGCCCAAATTTCCTTTTCCCTTTTTTCCCCTTTTTTTTGCTTGCATTTGCAGTAATATGCTCTGTCTGGTCACAGCTATCCCATGCTGCGGTAGTCTAGTGGTTATAGTACTAAACTGCTTACCCGAAGGTCGCAGAATCGAATCGTGGTTACTGTGGCTGCATTTTCCATAGAGGCGAAAATGTTCGAGGCCCGTGTACTGTGCACTGTCAGTGCACGTTAAAGAAGGCCAGATGGTCAAAATTTCCGGAGCTTGTGTCTCTCGTAAGCGTATCATAGCTTTGAGACGTTAAACCCTAGATATTATCGTAATCATGGCCACAGCCTCCACAGGCAGTGTCTCATTGCCTCTATGGCAACATAGCAATTGCAGCCAATAAGGCAGGACCAGCTATTGAAATGGCTCCAGCGGCACCTTATGTTCACGAATTTTTCAACGTTGCAGGACCTACACGTTCGTGGAGGTACGTCCAGGCGCAAACCTGAATGTAATTGTGGGTACGAACGGGTCTGGCAAGTCGTCCTTAGTGTGCGCCATCTGCCTCGGCCTGTGTGGCACACCACACACTGTTGGACGGGCCTCCAATGTCTCCGACTACATACGGCATGGTGCAGATTATGCCGTGATTGAAATTGAACTGTGAGTAGTGCGGCACTTTTTGAGTGTGGGAAATGGTTCAGAGACTTCACCACTTGTAAGCTTAATGTGGCGTAAGCGATTCGGCAGGATGGTGGTTGTATGAATTTATTTAGAAGGTATGACTATGTACAGTGCCCCTTATATTATAGAAAACAAACAAATCTCCGCCACAGTAATGACTAATCATTGCTGTGCCTCTAGCATTAAGAAATGGTGACAAAGGTGTCGGAGTTCTCTAGTGCAGAATAACAGTGTCAGTCACTTCCTTAAAAAGAAAAGCAAGAGAAGAAAGCAATATGTCAGCAGCATAATTTAAAATGCATTGTGAGCACTGCGCAAACTGCAGCTTTCAAGGGTCAGTAAACACCCCAGAGGTACGAAAATGGCAATTAGGAGAAACGCAATGTGCACTTTCGCTATGTGGACATGCTGCCGCAAGAGTTTTGCAAATATGCGCTATAGTAAGGAAGTTACAGGGATTAGAACATCAATTTTAGCTGGTTTCAAATTTTCGCTCAACCTCGTCACCCTTCTCCGCCATAGGGAGGGGAAGGCGTAGTCCGTTGTCATCGTGACTGCCCACTTCAGTAGCGTGACATGACGTCAGTGATTTATCATTAGCGTGCAGCCAACAACCAAGCAGGGCTTCCCCCACATGAGCACATGTCAAGGTGGCGCAGTGAGGAAGCGTGGTGCAGCTTCCTACCTCTAGTGGTAAAGTAGTGATACACCTCTTTATCTCTGAGGCTTTCGTTCTGGCGGCACCGCTTCTCCCAGTAGTCTCGGGCTTTACAAAATGGCAGAGCGCAGCTCAGGAAAATTCGAACTGGGCCAGAACGGTTCCTCACAGGGCCAAGGTGCCGTTTCGTAGGGCAAAGGACCGATCAGAATTCAGGATTCAGAATTCTTGAACGTGGCAGGTATGCTACAGTGTTACAAATCTGAGAGAAACTACTTGCTTGCAGTGAGCAAGCTTGGAAGTTTTAACACACAGCATTATGATTGCCCATGCAGCGCCAGCACAACTGGGCAAAACACAATCATCGAAAGGCGTATCACGGGCAGCAAGTCCACGTGGAAAGTCAATGGCGTCACGTTACCCCAGAAGTCGGTGAGTACATACAAGGAAAAAAAAAAAAAAAAACCTAAGACAGTCTTTTCGAGAAAGATAACTTTTGACCATGTAATATTGGCAACGTTTGCCTGCTTGCTAGTGGAAGGTCTTCTTGAAGATGGGTAAATTTATACTTCGTTTTTAGGCATATAGAGAGAAAGGTATACTTACCACATTAAACATGGAAAAAAGGTTATATTTTTAGTTTTAATGATTAAAGGGAGTACCGCATATCTAAGCCTACCATGACAGTCATTCACATTGCTGAAGCTGTAAACCTTACTAACTTTCGATGAATTTTTTTAAAGATGATGAAAATGCACGGGGTTTGCAGTAGGATGAGTGAGGGCTTGTAGATAGGTTTGGGTATGCCGAAGGTAATGCTTTAAAAATAGATGTTTTGTCTTGTTTTGTCCAGCACTTTTGAAGCGTCTATTTCTCATATGCTTTGTGTAGAGCATTTGCGTAGGCAGGGGTGAGACAGCTGCGTATATTGCACATTTTTGATGCGTTTCCGTTTTCTTGCACCAAGCTGCTCCAAAAACATAAAAATTGCAAAAATTACGCCGAAATACTCCAAAACGGGCTCGAAAGCTATACGTTTGATGCCAACCTCAGCTTTAGTGGGAAAAAAGGCCGAGTTGGCTAATAAGACGCGCCCAATCGCATTTTTTTTTTACCTTGCAGTTTTCTGGTGACAGAGGCTCGCATGGTGCCGCCATAATCTTCTCTAAGCTGTTGTAAATATACGTGACCTTGCAAAAATGCGATGTTGTGCATCGAGCGTGCTGCTTCTACTTGCTATAGGCTGTGTGTTCTAGTGCCTCTGTTGCGTTGCGAAAACCAGACACAAGTGGCGAGCGTAGCGGGGTTGACTTTAAGGTTATTTGTTGAGCAGAGTGTGTTCCTCCGGTCGCTGCGTTTTTCATGCCAATGCTGCTGTGTACGGTCACCCACGCGTGCATGTTTGCCGTGAACAAGTAGCCGAGGGTGTCTACCAACCTGGAAAACCTGGAAAAGTCAGGGAATTTGGACCCTTCGGGAAAAGCCATGAAAAAGTCGGGGAATCCTTGAAAAACCTGGCCAGGTCATGGAAACTGAAAGCAGTTCTATGCGACCCTCACAAAAATAAGCGTTACCATTGATGAAAGCTGAAAAAGTCGCTCTTTCAACTGTAACTACAGTGAGCTGCTAATTGATTGATTGATATGGGGGGTTTAATTTTCCAAAACTACCATATGGTTCAAGAGACACCTTAGTGGAGGGCTCTAGAAATTTCGACCTTCTGGGGTTCTTTAACGTGCACCAAAATCTGAGCACACAGGCCTACAGTATTTTCACCTCCATCGAAAATGCAGTCGCCACAGCCGGGATTCGATCCCGCGACCTGCGGGTCAGCAGCCGAGTACCTTAGCACTAGACCACCGCGGCGAAGCACAGTGAGCTGCTAGAAGGCATGTGAAAAAAAAGACAATGCATAACTGTTGCTTAGTGTAATTGTGTAAGGATACACCGACCCATAGAACACAGTTTACTGGCGTTTCAGCCCCCGATAAGGGAGGGAGCCTTGTTCACAGTAAAAGCCATAAGGCGCGGTGTACTTAAGTGCACCTAAATACGTGACATAAGGAGCGAGAGTACATTGTCAGAAGCGTCCCATCACTCCTCTTCAACGTATGTCTGTATCTGGATTCCAAGTGCAGGCATGATGCAAGCTTCTTTTAAGAGCGGAGCATGTTATAGTCGCACCTACTCATAAATCCGGCGTTGGTGGTGGTGTCTGTACCCCTACTGCGCATGCTCGTATCTCGTGCCAACGTTAAATCCAATTATTTTCGAGTGTCACATCCACAGAAGAGTACGTAAATCAAGGTAGTTTGCCAACATTCGTGATTGATCTGTGGAATGAGTGAAGCTGCTGCACCTTGACAGATTCCTTCTTGCCACCACATATTCAAACGTCGGCACTTTGAACGCTGTCCCCAGATTTCGTTGCAGCCGTCTGAGGACATTCGTTGCACTTCATGTGTCAGTGCCCATCGACAAACATGCATGTGCTCATCGGAGAAAAACAGAAAGAAAAATAGAAAAAAAAATTGCAGTGCGGCTCTGTTCTTGCAATGCTGTCATTGCTCGTTGTCAAGGCAAGGTACACAAAATACGCGAGTAGTAGTTATTCATTTTTTATAGTATATTTTAGAGGTGCACAAATTAGATGGGGACCTAAATTAATAGTAAATACAGCAATCCTGGTCGAGTCAGATCAAATCCAATCTACATCCTAAATAGTCGAGTCAGCAAATAAAGCAGTTCAGGGCGATCTAATTCAATTTAGTCCACATCCTAAGTGGCGTGGGCTACAGCCATTACAGTAAACTAGATTATACTCCAGTGGCAGAACCGGCCAGGCTCCCGTGTCCCCATTTTACACGGATGCTCTGAGATTGCAGCACTTCTACGTTTCCTAGCAGCTTTGAATGCGATGACAGACTATTGCAGGCTCTTTCAAACTTTCATCTGCGGTTACCTTTAACTTTTGTGTTTGCTTCCTGATTTTTCTGAACATCAAACAGCTCACTTGCTCACTGCCTTGCCCAGGGGTTTTATTTTGGCCAGACATTCATATTTTTTCACATATACTGCAGGCGTTCAGAACATTCTGAGTGCATCTGGTAAATATGTTTACTTATTTTATATGGAGCGCCTGATTTTCTTACCACTCGAAGGTTTGTTTCTAGTACACATAGTTTTCTAAGTAGACGTGGCTAATTTGGCCGTAATGGTGGACCTATACGCGCTTGATGATGGAAACATGGTCCTTGCTTGTTTTGCTTCTTTCTTCACTGAAATCTCTTTGTCAGTTTGTTGCTCCCAAGTGCCAAGTACTTCTCGCTGTGCAAGGAGGAAGAGCAGGGAGCAGCTTCTAGCCAACTAAACAGGTTCTTACTGCTGATGTAGCTGGTGACCTCATGCTGGAAATAGGGGAAGATCTGGAGAGAAGCACAGTTTTCTTGTGGTTCATTTGTGGCTCGTAGTGTTTCTACATTTGGCAACATTTATTGTGATGGCATTCTGAATTTTATGCGTATGTTTACTTGAAGTATAACAAAAATCAAATATTGAACATGGTTTAGGGGATTTTTCTATTGCCTGTGCGGCCTGACTTATTTGCATTTTGCTGTGCAGGTTGAACATTTAGTGGCAAAGCTGAACATACAGGTTAGCAACCTGTGCCAGTTTCTGCCACAGGACCGGGTGGCTGACTTTGTGCGGATGTCCCGCCAAGAGCTCCTGGAAGGTACCGAGCGTGCTGTGGGCAGCTCTGAGCTGTTTGACCTTCACCAGCGACTCAAAGAGCTCCAGGTACAGTGCGAAAACCCTTTGGCTTCCCATTCACACGGTGTGAGTTTGAGGCAAGCCTCAAAGACCACCAGGAGACGTGTATCAAGCAACTGCAGAGTGGCATTGAATACCGCCAGTACGCGACCTTAACTCAAGTTTGGCCAACAATCAATTGTGCTCTTTTGGCTGTCACACCTCTTTTTTTTTTTTTTGTTCTTCTCTCATCCAGTAGTTACTACAACTACCACAGGCATCCATGACCGCAACTGCATGTTTAATCATTATGCTGCTTACAGAACCTTTCTAAGGCCAGTTCTTGAGTAAGGGCGGTGGTATGGAGCCCTCATCAATATTATTTAAAGAAACAACTAGAAAAATTCAGAAGTACATGGTGCGATTTATATGCTCCCGGTATCGAAGGACAGAATCAGTTATAGAAATGTTCCATTCTTCTGGCCTGCATTTGTTAGTAGCGTGAAGGCAGAAAAATTGTCTGAAACTATTATTTCAGTTTCTAAATGGCCAACTAAATATTAGCAAAGAAGTCTTACTGCCGCCAGGTAAACAGAGCTCAAAAAGCAACCACAACAGGGCCATTCAAGCAAAACAAGACTCGTACGGATAGATTCAAGTACTCCTTTTTTCTTAACACAATTGAAATGTGGAATGAATTGCCGGTGAGTGTTGTTGAACAGAACAATTTGTCGAAATTGGAACAAGCCTTGGATGACTATTTGTACAAGTGTAGCCTGTAGCGTTCGATCTTGATCTAACCTGTATTTGTGTATGTGCTAATGATGTTCATCTTTACTTTTGTTGTTTTGTTATATTACCCTCTCTGTAAGTACTCTCGCAAGAAAGTTGACAGTATTGCGAAATTAATAAATAAATAAATGATTCACTCATTAATCATAGTCTTTAGCTGTTGGGATGCAGATTTATCACTAAGTGTCAACATGGATGCACTTATGAAAAGTGGTGCTTTAGCTTTCAAAAACCAACAGATTTAGTATATGCGCTCATATATCGGTGTACTTTGTAAGGAGACGTCTTACTTTCGTGTTATACTGATTCATACGACTGAGGAATCAACAGTATCTTTTTTTAATTGAAACAATGCCTCGGCAAATGCCATTCTCTTTAGTTCAAAGGAAGTGGAAACAACTTTGAATAGTTGCAGGATTTGACTTTCAGCAGAATGCTAGTGATAGCGTGTAAAATATGTGATGCTTTATGATTTACTATACTTGGAGCATAAAAGCCTGTATAGCAAGCTTCTTAACTTAAAAAAATGATGAATCGATGTGAGGGTAATATGTTCATTTAACCTTAAAGGGAGGCTCCCTCTCACGACTCCCTTTCGATCATGCCAGCCGTGCATCTCCTGCTCAACTGTGTTGGAGTAAGTAGAACCTCGTTGATATGTTTCCAAGAGAAGGGGGCGGGGGATAAAAATAATGTAAAATGTACTATTCGGGAAAACGTTTGATCCGAATCCAGTAGGAATTGAGGCTGACTAGCTAATATGGAGGTGCATAGGCAAAGAACATTTATTTCTCCAAAAACATAGCACGGTTCTTTCATTTTCGAACTTCTGGCAGCCAGAGGTTAGCCAGCTAATTCCAGGCCTGACGGCAAGCATCGTGGTCACATGTGTCAAAAGTAGCAAGTGGGAATGTATCAACAAGTTTCTGCTGCTGTTGTCAAACATATTGTCGAAACGTCGGTGTTCATTTAATTGTTTGCGAATTCTGTTCCCTACAGTGTCCACTAGTAGAGCGGGGGTGTTTGTGCAGTCAATGGTGGGGGAGATTTCTCGAAGCATGCTCTGTCCTTTGTGTAATGCAGCAAATGCGGGGCACCCTGGAGGCTTCGCTGCAGGGCCTGAAAACGCGGCTGGAGCAAGAGCGCCAGAAGGTGTCGCACCTGGACGCCGAGGTGAAGAAGATCCAGGAGCACAAGGAAGTGCAGCGTCGCATCGAGCGCCTGCGCCAGAAATTGGCCTGGATGGTAGGCTCCCCGACTGATTTCTCTTTTCTGTCTTTGTCTCTTCAGAGGGATGCTGAGAAGAAAAAAAAAAAGATTTTCCTTTTATGTAATAGTAAATTACTCTTTCACAAATCCAAAATTGCCAGGCTTGCCACAACAGCACGCTTGGCAAGCGAGAAAATGCACAAATGCTTGTGACGATGCCACATTCCAATTCCGACACCGAACGCCGTGACATGGGATATTTTGAGAGCGTCTGCTAGGGCCTATGCATAGAGTTCCTTAAAAGTAACTAAAGGGGACTCTGGCACTGCGATCGTTCAGCGACCATGGGAACAATGGGTAGTACACGGATTTGCCTAGTCTTTGTACTTGCAGGAGGTGGACCGCACTTGTGGCTTTGTTAATTGCTGTGTTTTGGTTTTGTTTTGAAGGAAAGATCAAGCACTTTTGAACTTCGTGACCCTATTTGAAAAGGTAAGCCTAAAAGAGTAAGGTGGTGAAGTGCAACTGCTGAACATTCGCCGATTTTTGTTTCGTGACAGAACAGCTGCAAGCCACACGAACACAGAAGAAGCCAGAAGTATGAAGATTAGACAAATCCGTGTACTACCCACCATTTGCGATGCACTGCAGCTTCCATAGACACTAGTGCCAGAGTTCCCTCTAGTGGATATATAGGAAACTCTGTGGGTCTATGTACAGTGAAACCTCGTTAAACCGTAGTTGGCCCGAGCTCGGAAAAAGTACGTACTAAACGGTAGTACTGCTTAACCGAAATAGCGTCAGGTCGCTCACTTACCTGTCAAAAAAGAAACCTTCAGAGAGTGCGATGAAAGAACAAAAGACGTGCAGTAAGTTATTAACTTCGCGTGACAAACTCTGTAATCTTCATTTGACGACACGGCGGCCTAGCAGCAACGACAGCGGCCTCAAACTCACTTATGCTGTGAGCCAGCTTTTCCGCTAGCCCCGTCTTCTCGGCAAATACAGTAGAATCTCGATGATACGAATCTCACGGGGTCACGAAAAATATTCGTATTAGCCGAAATTCGTATCATCGAAACAAATAAAACTAGATAAATTAACAAAGAGTCAGACGTGAACTCATCCAGGCATAAGTACCTAAAAAGCATTTATTCCTTGATGAAAAAGTCTCTGATGTCCTTCTGCCTCTTTTTCTTCGCCAGGTCACCTAGCAGACTTTGTTTGAAAGCATAAAAACGCGTGCACGTGTCGTCGCTGACTTCATCCGTGGCCACAGCGCGCCTCAGAACGTCGAGCGCGTGCAGCGTTTCAGCCGCCGGTGGTGGTCCTTCGCCGTCGCCATCATCGCTGGAATTGGCAGCCTCGCACGTGGCCTCCTCAACAATATCTTCGACCGTGCGCGCACCATAGGTGGCGAGATTGTCATCTGCCGTGCAAAAATCATCAGATGTGCACTCGACGTTGAGCTGTTCCCAGTCCTCAATTGTGGGATCTTCCGGCTCTGGGGGCACCTCTTCCGGACTCTCGAAGAAGCCGCATTTGCCGAAGCAGTTCGCTAAAGTAGTCAGACTTACCCGATCCCATGCCATAGCTATAAAATGAATGGCGTCCAAGAGGCTTATTCTCAGGTCACCTTCGTCCTTTCGGTCAATTTTTGTGAGTAGGGGATGCACAAGAAGGCTCTTAAAATGGTGCTTCACATTCTTAATAATCCCAGCGTCAAGGGGTTGCAGGTGCGTCGTCGCGTTTGCGGGTAAAAAGACGAGTTTGACGTTCTGAAGCGTTACTTGCCTCGGGTGGGCGGCGCACTGGTCAAGAAAAAAAAGAATCTTCCGATTCTTACAAGCCATCCTCCTGTCAAGGAGTGACAGAAACTTTTCAAACAACGCCGCCATCATCCATGCCTTTTTGTTTGTGTGATAGACGCACGGCAAATGACTCTCGCGCTTGAAGCACCAGGGCTTTTGGAACTTTCCAACTACGGTCAGCTTAAGCTTTTCCGATCCGTCGGCGTTATAGCACAAGAGCACAGTAATACGCTCTTTGCTTTTTTTGCCTCCTCTGCATGCTTCGCCTTTTAAACAGAGGCTCTTTTCGGGTTGCAGGTTAAAAAAAGAGACCTGCCTCATCAGCATTAAAAACATCACGAGGCTCATACTCTGCAATGAGTGACGGCCGCTTCTCTAACCAGTTGCTGACAACTGCCTCGTCAGCTTTTTTCGGTTCGCCGCAGACGCTTTTGTAAACGAAAGCGTGCCTAGTCTTAAAGCGCTGCAGCCACCCACCTGAGGCCTGAAATCCGTCAATGTGCAGAGCAAGTGCAAACTCTTCGGCTTTTTCCCGCAAAACTTTGCCATCGATATTTACGCCAGCTGCGGTTACTTCTTTAAACCAAGTCAGGAGAGTCTCTTCAAGTTTCACGTGCTGAGCGGTCTTCGCTTGCTTTGCGTTGACGTTGAACGAAAGCAAGTTTTTCATTATGTTCTCTCGCTGTCCAACAACTGTGCTCAGTGTTGACGTTGCAAGGCCTAGCTCCTTAGCCCACTCCGTCCGCTTTCTCTTAGGATCCTCATCGACCTTTCGAAGGATGTCTAATTTCTCCTTAAAGGAGAGCGCTTTTCGCTTGCGAGACAGCTCGTTGCGACTAGGCAAAATGGTGCAAACACAAAGAACACGGCTCGAAGCACAGCACTGCAGCCACTCCGTCCAACGCCACGCAGAGAAAGAGGAAAAGCACAACAGCAACAAAAGCGTCGCCGCTACAAACTCGTTGTGCCTTGCCCCGCGCAGTCCGCCGCGTCGTTGCGTCCGCGCTGCCACACCCAAAAAGAGAGTAGGAAAGGAAACCGTGGTCAGCGCCATCTCTAAACCTAAACCGAAATCAAAGGGCGCAAGTGGTCTCTGAGGTCTCCGTTATTGCGCACGCTGGGTGCCGATGTTTGAGGCCGCCATGCGCTGCTAGCAGGCACCGTTGGCAAAATGCCAAACCGGCGGTGGTGCGCATTCCGGCGCGCGACTGGGTGCTGTTCTATTTCGCGGCTGTCAGTGGGGCGGCGTTCATTCGTATCAAACAACGCGGGCAGAAAATCGATTCGTAACAAACATACTCTAGCGCATTGCAAAGTAATGGGGCACAGCAGGGACCACAGAAAAATTTGTATCATCCGGAAATTCGTAATAGCCGTGATCGTATCATCGAGATTCCACTGTACCTGCATGACGCTGATGCAATGCGCAGCTTCGGCCACTGTCGGACCTGGATCACCTGTGTTGTCGCTTTCCATGTCGTCCTCATCACTATCATTTGGCGACACTTCGACAACCGAGGCAACAATGGCTTCGTCGGACATGACCGGAGATGTCTGCACATCTCTGTCTGTGTCTCTGAAGTCGGGGAAGGAAATGCCTTTCGTAACGCCCTGTCATGGTTGAGCTGCGAGGCAAAAACTAGGGCCTTCTCCACGAGCAGGGGTCCGCTGATAGGCAGATTTTTTGACCGTGCAGCTTTTAGCCACTTCACCAGCGCCTCCTCTACATCCGAAAACGCCGAACCGCTTAGCCGGCACCTTTTCGCAGTTGCAGCAGCACTGCCGAGCAACTTCTTTCTGGAATTCCAAATTCCACACACCGTGGTTAACGGCAGGTCCTTTTCGCGTGCCAGCGCCGATTTTTTTCGTGCCACTTTCAATAGCACGAATCATGTCCAATTTCTCCTCTATTTTCAGCACTCGATGCTTTTGTCCCAGCTTCGGCATGACGCAAGCACGAAGCAGCACAAGCACACATACAACAACACGTGAAAAACGACACGAGAGCTCTACGGCATGGATCAATCAGAAAACACCTATGCACGGCGCCAGAGGAACAAAGAAACCAAAGCAAGCGCACAACGTGTTTGCGTGTTTGTGTAAAGCGCCGTCACGTGGACAACACCAGAAGCCTAGCCGGCCGAGTGCTTCTTGTTGTAGAAAAAATCCAAGAGATGGCGCTCACCAAAACAGCTGCCATCATCATCAACACAAACAAGCGAGGCGTGTTTCGATCTCTGGGGCTTGCTGTTCTGCCGGGATTGCCCAGTGGGGGATGACTTGTCGCGGCGAGTGCGCAACGAAAATTGAAAAAACTACTTATTAACCGATACATACGCGATAAGCTGGTACGGCTTATGCGTATACAAAATGCATTATGTTCAGTGGCCGTCGAGTCGGGGATTTGACTTCACTACTTTTAAAACGAAACTACTGTTTACGCGGGTACGGTTTAACGAGGTTTAACTGTTGTTCCTAATCAGCAAAAGCGAAGTACATTGGCTTCTGAGGAGACCACATATATGACATACCAAGTTTCAAGAAAATCTTGCGGGGCCAGTGTCGCTAAAATACCACAAATACACTTTGAAATCAGTGAAGTCACGCATAAATTTCTCCATGAAATTCAAGAAGATAACTTCAACCTTGTTTTTTTTTTCCTCGATTAATAAACTTATAGAGAAGGGGGGGGGGGGGGGACATCAGCAGCATCAAACTTTTCAGGTCAAGTGTTGCCAATGTAAACCGATTCATTGTACCACTTAAGGGTCACTTTAAGATGCTAGGAAAAGATGAATGCTAAATTTGAGGTTCAAATAGAATTTGTAACATATAGTGATTTGGTCGTATAACTTCTAGTAATGTTCGAATATTGTGTATCCCATATTCTAAAAGAAAATGGAACATTTTGTCATGTCCCAACTCTTACAATATCTTTAAGAATTACATGATTTGTGCGAATGTCGCTTTCTTGATTCGAAGCAAAGTGGATGCAAGTTTGAGATGGTAGCAGGAGTTGAATAAAAGCAGGATGCAAGTTATAATCAATGAAATATGTTCATTTGCTATACTTAGTGCATATTAGCTTGTATAACGTCCTGTTAAAGATTTAAAAAAAAAAAGAAACGTGAAATAATGAAGGTGTAGGTAATGTGTACCCTGGAGGCCGAACTTTTTTATGTTTCAAGATAGCTGAATGAAACTTTCTGGGCATGTTCAATACGC